CGAGTCGTTTCGAGGCGTACTCGCGCCAGGAACGCGAAGATCGAATGGCGCAAAGTCGTTGCCGTTAAAGACGCCACGGGTAACGACGCACCCTTAACGGCAATTGGAGAGGCAACTTCAACCCCCGCGACAGAGGGCTTAGAGTGGCGGCGGCGGCTGCCGCGTTGGGGGGAGGGGCGTCATGGGATTTCCGCGGACTCCGGGAAAAGCAATTTCTTGTTTACAAACCTGCAGTGCCCGACCTGAGGTTTTTGATACTCGGCTAATAATTGATGCACAATCGACGCGTTGATCTGAATTTTTCATCGTGCGCGGATGCCGTGGCGGTTTTGCCCGGAAATGGCACGCTCTGTTGTAAAACATGGCCGCGAGTACGGTGACAAAAGGATGTAGATGCACTAACCGTGTGTAAATTGTTAACATCGCCGCGTAACGATGTCGGACTTTTGATAGATCGGCACTATGCATTTTCCAGGATCGCCGGTTAACAAACAATTTATCGCGGACGCATTGTTTTGCGCAAACGATAAAGCTTTGTCCTCTGACTGAATTAAGCGTCCCAAATGTGTATAAAGATCACAGATATTTTGTGCAGTTAAAGATGACGCTTTGTCGTTATTTTTGTCGCGATCATGCGCACGACTTGTTCCACTTCGGGAGAGATTAACGTGGAAAAAGTCTCTCTCGAGACTAATCCCTCGAGACTAAACACCAAAGGTTAAGACGGACAGAGAGAGATATCGACGCAAATGTCTATTGCGCAAGAATAGCTACTATAGCAGCGCAATTTAACTACGCTGGTAATGGTACCAAGGCGTTCCGTTACAACGAGTCGCCGTTAATGCATAACCGATTCGTTTCCAAGCCACGTAGAGCGAGTATAACATCTGTGTCGGAGCGAAATTGCGGCAGACGCGGGAATATTTCTGAATTGTTCCGCGCATCGGGCAAAATATTTCTGCCGCCTTCATTACTCCCTTGGACAAAGTACTCAAAGACATAGCGCGGGCCTTTGTGCTCGCGTCGCGACTTAAGACCCGGCTCCTTCTCGCGCGCGCAGTATCTCGAATTGCAAATTTCGCCGCGGGTGTAAGTACGAGGAGCGAGCGAAAGGACGAAGCGCACCTGAAGGCACGACGATTGCTAAGGAGCTCCTTACCTTCAGAAGTCGTCGGTTTTTAATTATCAGGGATGCGGGGAGAGAAATGGATGGCGAGAGCGAAAGGGGCGGGAGCGAGCGAGGGAGAACGAAAGAGAAATAAACGACTGATGGAAACGCGAGCCCGCATTCGTCCTAATTAGCGAAGAAAAAAGTCCGCATCGACGCGCGGACGAGATAATCGCGGACAGTGCGCGCGTGCAATGGCAGCAAAACTTGCCCGTCGGGTGTATAAAACGATAAATAGCCGTGCGTCACGAGTGCGACGGAGAAAAAACGGGAGGGTGGCGGAACGAAAGAGAGAGAGAAACGCGAGAGAGATAGAGAAACGCGAGAGAGATAGAAAGAGGCCAGGCGCGAGAGAGAGGAGGAGAGAGAGAGAGAGAGAGAGAGAGAGAGAGAGAGAGAGAGAGAGAGAGAGAGAGAGAGAG